AGGGGAGAGGGGAGAGGGGAGAGAGGAGAGAGGAGAGAGGAGGGAGAGGGGCGAGGGGAGAGGGGAGAGAGCCCACGCTTTTCACTCTCCTTTTATTCCCCGGTGAGTTTGGTTGTTAATCATGACCCTTATCCAGAGACACCTGCTTCCTTGTTTTCTAGTTCTTTGGGAATTCCCCACCCTCATGGGCTTCCTTGTTTCTCAGGCTTACAGAACTACAGAACGTTCATCACGTTCCAGGGCAATCTAATTCGGCAAGGACGCCGTTCCTTATAACATAGTCTCCTTACTCTATACAATGGAGGGTAAGATTCAAAATAGAGCCTCTTTGGCTAACACCGCTCTCCACACTCCTCCACACCTTACTGGCCTGTCTACCAGCCTGTCTAGTTTTCCTTTGTGATACATTTTCATCTCCACCTTCCTTTCTCCTATTACTGCTGAAGTGACTCTTCACTTCATGCCTGGACTTTTGCCGCCTCATATCCATTGCCTTTCCCATCTCCTGTCCTTTTTCTTAGCAGCATAACCAGAATAAGTCTCTGAATCACTGCTTTCTATATTCATTTACTTTCTTCCAGCAAATATTTATTATTCAAAAACACTGATTGTCTAGTGGCTGCCCTAAGGAATAGGGCTAAGAAACATAGATAAATCTCTCTACTCACTTTTTCCTCACAGCTTTAGATGATGTTCTCTTGGCAACAAAACATGAGTCTAGTTCCTTAAGCCTCTCATTCTAAGTATTCCCAACCTAGCTCTGATGTTAAGCTTAATTGTCAACCTATCTGACTTGGGAGCCAACTAGCGGAAGAGCAGAGCACACTTCTGGCTATGTCTAGCTGGGACATGAAGGTGTGACAACATATGGCCCCTGGCCCTCTCCTTACTTGTGCTGTTCCCCTACTCGGCTTTCTTGTGGGTGTGATCTTAGTTCATCCAAGCTCTTCTTCCATGATGTTTCTGTCTTGGAACCAACCTGCCATGGATTGGATACCCCAAATCTTTAAGCCAAATTTAAACTCTCCTCATTTAAATTGTGGATTTCAGATCATTTGTCCCAGCAATGGATAAGCTGACTATACAGAAATTGATATCCAGGAGAGGGGTCATTGCTGTGACTATACAGTACCTGACCATATGGTTCAGAAGCCTTTGACCCTGGTATGTAGATGGAGTTTGAAAAGGTTCGGAGATATGGCCTAGAATGCCGTAGAAGCACAGAAGACCACAGTGCTGTTATGAATGCAGTAAAGGCCAGGCTTAGGTTTCTGGTGAGGAGAAGAATTCTGTTGGGAATTGGACTAAAGGCCATGTGTAACATTCTGGCAAAAAAAAGAAACGTGTCTACATCTTGTTTATGTCCTTAGACTTTTTAGGAGACTTAAGATTAAGGGCACTAGACTAATTTATCTGGTGGAGGAAATTGCAGGGCAGCCCAACATTCAGGCTGTGGCATGAGTACTGCTGGTTGGTTTTAGCCAGATGGACAATGAGAGTTGAGAACAAAAACCAGAGCATAAAATGTTGAAAAACTTAAATTTTTATTCAAAAGGAAACATGTATAAGGTTGGGGCAAAAGGAGGTATGATTGCTGAAGAGGTTAGTGCCATTAAAAAGAGAGGACAAGAGGAAAAGTGCCTTGAGAACATCTCAGAAATCAGCAAGATCCCACCCATGGCAGGGTGAAGGGCACAAGAGTATCAACCTTTCATTTGAGAAGAGTCCCTGGGACTCAAGCTCCTGAAGAGCTCCCCAGGAAATTGGTGGCCTGAGATTCGTGTTACCATTCTCAGTCATCCAGGCACTAAGAGACCACAGCAGCTATGGTCCAAGGAGCCTAACTACTGGTCCCACTGACAGCAGACCTTGGCACTGTTCATGAGATTCTGGTTTTGCTAGCATACAGAATGCAAGAGTTGTGTAGTCATGAAAGCTTCCACCCAGATTTCAGAGGAAAGTCTGGGAAGCCAGGCAAAGAGCCCTGCAGAGGCAGGTGCATGAAGCTGTGTGAGTGAAGCTGAAGGTACAGTGGAAAACCCAGGAAGTTAGAGATACTAGCAATATGTAACTTCTGCCAAGGAAGGCTGCACACTGGAATCAAGTAGAGCCAGCATAAGAGAAAACCATTTGGGCTGCAACAAACAAAGCCATGGGGATGGGCCTACTCAAGCCTTCTGAAACTCACATTTCACCACTGTGTGCCTCAGATACAAACATGGAGCTATAGGGTTTAAGGTTTGCCAGGCTGGTTTTGGTCTTGCTTTAGTCCTATTCTTTTCTATCTCCCTTCTGGAATGTGAATGTTTATCCTGTAACTTGTGACTATGGACCTTGTTTTTGATTTCTAAAGAGATTGACAAATAAGAGTTTGCTTCAAGTCCCAGAAGAGACTTGGACTTTTGAAAAATTCTGAAACTGTTGAGACTTTGGGGAAGGGATTGTTCTATTTTTGGTTGTACAAGAGATACTTGTATCATGTTAAATGGAATTATTTACTTATTATTGTGTTTATTTGGAGATTATAGTTTAATGAGGTGTGTTTTGGTGTCAACTGACAATGGATGGAATATGATAGTTCAGTCAGTTTAATTGTCCACTTGATTGAGTTGGGAGCTGCCTGAGCAATTAGTAAAGCATATTTTTGGCTTTGTCTGGGTGGGCTATGGAAGCATGACCTTGGAAACTATGTATGGGCCCTGGCTCCTTCCTCCCTGGCACTGTTCCCTGCTCTGCTTCCCAGCCACCATGAACTAAGCAGCTTTGTTATGCCATGTCCTTTCTGCAATGATATTCCTACCTTGGAGCCAGCTGACTATGGACTGGATCTTTTAAATTCATGAATCAAATAAACCTATCCTTCTTTAAGTAGTGGGTGTCAGGTAATTTGTCCCAGCATCAGGAAAGCTAATATACTAACTGCACAGCTATTACTTTACTATAGCCATATTTCATTCCCAGAAAAATTCTGAATTCATTACTTCCTATACTTCTCATCCTAATTGTAATGTGTCATCTTATGTGATATAATCATTTATTTTAAATCATTCAAGTGCATTTAGATTCAGAGAGAAAAGTTTTACCTTTATATTTTTTTAATTTCTAGTGCTCTGTTCAAGAAGCTAGCCAAAGCATTATTTCTTGATTTGTTGACTTTGTCAACTATTAAAGAAAGGTATTTGAAAGAAAGTAATTTTTAAAAACTTACCAAAGTGAAATATATGAAAAGTAAACGATAAAAAAATGCTAAAATGTTTTTTCTTTAAATCTTAGATTTCTTAAGAATTCTATACTTGCCAAAGAAAATTACATGAAAATTTAATCTATAATTTATAATTTAAAATACATCATGACTTCTCCTTTGTACTTTAGGTAGTAGAATAAGAATGTACCCAGGTGACATAAAGCATAGATAACTGTTTAAAATATTTTATGTTTTGCTTATGTAACTTGGCTCTATAAAACACATCTCCAAACCAGTTTATGGCTCTCATTCCAAGGAAAATGAAAGCCAGCCAAATATCTTTCTATAAATATCTAAAAAGATAATTTAGAATGCCGATCTACAGACTTGAAATGCCTAGACTTCCTGGAGCCACACTTTTAAATCTTGACGATATTAATTTTACAAAAGTTTTTTAAATATGCTTTTTTGATGTAAGAGCTCTTAAAATAATATTTTGTGCTACTTAAAAATAACAGAATGATGTTTTGATTTATATAATGTATTTTTGATCAATAATCATTGTACTGTGTCATTATATAATAGGTATTTTTAAGCTGAATTATGAGAAAACTATGTAAAGAAATACAGGTAATTGATTGGATGAAGTGGTTTAGGAATTTAGAACAGTGACTGACTTCACATATTGTAAACAAAAAAATGTTTTAGCATGTTTTAAAAGGATTATTTGAAAATTATTTCATCCCCCAAATGTAGGAAAAAAGCAAACACTATTTTTTTCATACTGGTATTTATTTGGGGGAAGTGATGTCACATTTCATTTAGTAATTAGCAGGAAATAAAAACATGCTAGATTTTACCAATAGGAATGTATAGTTTGGAAGATAAATAATTATATTAAAGCTATATAAAGCATTTGTTGTTCTTTTAATACAACTGTGTGCTTTTATTTCTTCCTTCTTTTCTTTTTTCAAAATGTATTGAAATCAGAAAATTTTAGTGTATGTTTTTGTAAATTGAATTTTGTCCTGGAATTTCAAATTCAAAACACATGTTTTTGGTGTTAATGCTTTACAGAGCATTTCAACAATGAAATTTACCCAAGATCATCTGTGAACATGTTTCTTCTTTAAATTAAATTTTCCATTTCTGAAGTGGTCAAGTTTTATGATACCAAGACATAGAAAGAATGAGGAACAAATACAAAGAAAAGGACAGCAACATTTGTTGAAAATAAATGAGAAACATGACTACAATTTCAAGGGCTAATTTACTGAACAAGTAAAATCAAAACCAGAAGTTTTTATGAGAGCCAGAGTGCTTACTTGAGTGCTTAAATTGTCTTTAGACAACACTTCCGGTGAGGCAGTTTTACAGTGAAGCCTAAGAAATAATTTTCAAATAATTTAAATCCCCTATTTAAATGCTCAAATATCCAAGTTATTTGACTGGGAATCTATGGGGCAAAAACTGGTTGGAAAATAAGAACTGTTTTGGTAATAATCATTATTATTGAATATGGTTTTTATATTTTTGGACCGGGAAACTTATAACTAAATAATCACTAAATCTAAAAAGAGTGAGTATGAAAGAGCTAGTGGTAAAAACAGATTAGTTACAGTATTTCTGGGTGCTAATTTTGTTATAGTTTTTATTGTTATCACAAGCCTTAAAGTATTATCCAAATATTTTTCAAAACAATTTTTGTTATAAAAATTATGCATATTTATTTTAGAAAACTTGGAAAATACCACCAAATCCAAAAAAAGGAAGTTAATTTCAACCATGGGCCTCAGATAACCATTGACAATATTTTAGTTTTGCATCCTGAAAATACCTTCCTGTGCAGTATTATATATGTAGTATGCAAAGTAATATGTGAACATTTTCCCTGAATACTTTCCCTTCATAAAACTTTAAATTCTTAGTTAATCATGGTGATAGGCTTGATACATGATATTAAGAAGAAAAGATGTATTTATATCCTCTTCAGAATCTCCGTCTGGATTAACATTTTAAGGAAAAAAAGTTCATTTCTTTATAACCAAATTTCACTTCATTCCCAGTATGCTCTACAGTTATTATATAAATGCTACATTCAATACTTATATGTTGCACTGAAGACTTATTTAACATCTTTAAAGGACAGTGGACTAAAATATGGTGTATTTTAATTAAATATAATTTTAGAGTGCACAAAGAAATTATTTTCTACTTTACATACCTGTACAATTGTCTTAATGAACTAACTATGCTTTACAGATTTAAATTACACAATTTTACTCTAATTTCTGTCCCCAAAATAGGTATTCACATATTGTTTATAGAAATTAATTGTTGCAAAAATGATATAATGAAAAGCATTGCTGTACCTGTCACGAATCACCTCCTGTAGCTTTAGAACGTCACTAAAATCATTAGTTTTAATACATTCCTTGTGTGTGTTAGTGGAATGAAACACACTGGAAGCTCAGTGGCCGGCTAACTCGCACGCACAGGTGAAACCAATGTTTGATTGATAAGAAGGACGTTCATGCAGGCAACCAATCCTCCCTGGTTTGGTGTGAGCCAGCATTTGGAACTGATCCCATTCTCTAACTTCTCTTTTTGGGTGTTAGTGCCCAGACCAGGACATCTTTGGAAATTTGGCATCGTCATCAGTAACCGCGCACGCTGGTGAAATGTCTGCATACCTGCCTGCAGAGCCAGAGCTTCCAGACCTGTGCCCATGCGTTCCAAGCAAGGTAGGCCAGCTCCAGTCTGTGCCCGTGGGAAGACATTTCATGGCTATCACCTCCCTCTCGGAAACAGTGTGTGTCCTTTGTGCTGGTTGAATCAAATTCCTGAGCTCCGCAGTCCCAGAGTGGGTTACAGAAAGGGTCTTCCTGGATTTCTAGCCAGATAGTTCCTGAGTCCATGTGATCTTTCTTCCAGGATGCAAATTAGAATCAATAACAACGGGAAGGGAGAAGCCACCTCAATAGAGGCAAATATTGAGTATTTAATATGCCAGGAATGGGCTACAGATCTGGGAATTCAGAATTGAAGGAAATGCAGGGTCTACTCTTCAACAGACACAAAGTAAATACTGTAGATAGTATTTCCTTCCTGAGGAATGACTGTATTTTTTTAGTAGCCCCAATTTCCAACAACTGTCTCTCTCTAAACAGCTCAAATAACCTGTTTCACCTGTGCTGATACAGGCCCTGCTCGCGACTGGGTCCATGGACCTATGTGAGCCCCTTTGGCGGGTATGAGTGGCTGAGAGTAGCTAGGGGAGCAGCTCCCATTCTAGCTGTTGTGGCACCCAGAACAGAGGATACCAGATGGTGCTGGAGACAGTGGAAGAGAGAGAAAGGCTTCCTGTGGGACCACAAGCATAGCTCGGGGGAGAGCAAAGGTTTCCCTTCCAGTTTCCGGGTGCATGTGTACGAATCTGACTTCAGGCCAGTGTGACAGAATGTTTACTAACACAGAAATTTATTTGTCCTCAGGGAGAAGCAGGATTGCCAGGAGCTGCTGGTTCACCTGGGCAGAAAGGAGAGAAACGAGAGCAGGTAAGACACACAACAACAAATCCTGCGAGGACAGAGCGGCTTGTTCAGAGGTGACTTATAAGATATGTGCATCTCACTTCCCTGTGCCTGGGATGGATGTGACGGATGAGATGCCAAGGAAGCCAGAGCTCTGAGTCTGTAATTCTAAAGCCCACGTTTAGAAGTTTCTTCACCTCAAACCTAACTGCAGTGTTTCTCATTCTTTGGAGTCGTGTCTGTTGTTAACTAATCAGGTAAATTGATTTGCATTAAGGTTAGGAGTTGGCTGTTTCTTTTATCTTTCCAAGGTGAAATAGGTTTTAATTTTTCTCATGCCTTTAATTGGAAGTCCATGATTCTAAATTCTTTACATAATCCATCTTGACTTCTTTTTTTAAAAAGCAGGAGTCTAGTATTTGACAGGTGACTGATTCTTCAAAGCTTCAACAGAATGACAGTTGTTTGACTCTCAAAAGAAATGCCCACTGAAGCTTGTGGGGGCTCATCGGCCCCTCAGCAGGTAGATAGAGCAGGGTATTTATGATTATTTAAGTCATAGTTCTTCAGGAACCTTTGCTTTGTATCACTATATGAAAAATACAAATAATTAAACAAGTGATCTCAAGACCACTTCAAACTAAGTATACAAATCATTACAGGTAGCATTAGTGCTGTATAGTGTTTACCCCACACCAGGTGCTAAGCCATGTGCTTTAGAAATGTTACCTTGTTTGAGCCTCGTGATACTCTTCATTTTAGGAGTTAGTGTTGCAGTTTTATAAATGGAAAACCTGAGGTATTGGGAGGTTAAACTATTGTCCCTGGCCACATAGCTTGAGGTAAAGTCTGGGTCTGAACACCAGTGTTCTTCTCTAACCAGTGTCTATTCTGAAGTCTGCTCTGTATTCGGAAAATCCTGTGTATTATTCATCTGTGTTCTGAGATCAGGGCACTTTCCACTTTGTAATAATTTATCCTTATAACTTCATAGAGAATATTAGCCTGATTTTTATTTCTTTTAACTTTTAAACAATTTTATTGGTACTGTACAGGTTTGCAGTGCATGGAGCTTAAAATCATCCTGGGGGAGTGAGTACCTGTACATGCTATGGCTTTTTCTTTTAACCCCCTTCCTTCCTCCCTCCCTCCTCTTCTAATTCCCCTATTCCGATTTCTATTCTTGTTGATATTATTAATCTTAGCTCATGTTATGGCATACAGTGATTACATTCATTGAGGTTATCAGGTTCCTGTATGTAGCATATCTTTATTCTACTTATTTCCCCTTCTTGTCCTCCTCACCTCTCACACTTGTTCCTCTGGACCACTTTTGTATTGCAAGAGATCCATCCCCTTTTCCCCTTTTATCTATCCTTTATCATTTTCTTTGTGCCTTGCCCCACTCAAATGACACATATCACATGGTATTGCTTGTGTGTCTGGTTTATTTTACTCAACATTATATTTTCCAGGTGCATCCATTTTCCTACAAATGTTTCAAACCTGTCATTCTTTATAGCTGAATAGTATTCCTTTATATGTAGATATCACACTTTCTTTATCCAGGTGTCTGTTGATGGATATACAAGCTGCTTCTAGGACTTATCTATTACAAATGGTGCTGCTATAAACATTGGTACACGTGTATTGCTGTACCATGTTGTCTTAAGCTCTTTGGGGAAGATACCTAGAGGGGGAAATAGCTGGGTCATACAGAATTTCTGATTTTAGTTCTTCGAGAAATTGCCATATTGGGGCCAGGGATTTAGCCCAGTGGTTCCACCGCCTGCCCCTCAAGCACAAGGACCCAAGTTCAATCCCCGGGACCCAAAAAAAAAAAAAAGAAAGAAAAGAAATTGCCATACTGACTTCCATAATGGCTATACTAGTTTATATTCCCACCAACAATAAAAAAAGAGTCCCTTTTTCACCATAGCCACACCAGCATTTGTTATTATTTGATTTCTTAATGATTGCCATTTTTTCTGAAGTAAGATGGAATCTTAGCATTGTTTTAATTTGAATTTCTCTAATGGTTAGGGATGTTGAACATTTTTTCATATATTTGTGGACCATTTGTATTTTTTCCTCTGAAAAGTCTCTATTCATTTCTCTTGCCCATTTCTTGACTAGGTCTTTATTTTAGGTTTAATTTTGGAAAGAGTCCTTATGTATTCTCCATATTAGTCCTCTACCTGAGGGGTGGCAGGCAAAAATTTTTCCTCATTCTGAAGGTTGTCTCTTCACTCTACTAATTGATTCTTTTGCTGTACAGAAGCTTTTTAGTCTGGTATGATCCCATTTGTTGATTTGAATATTTTCATCCTCATCTCACAGCTGGACGAACCACGTACAGGCAAAGTGAGGTGCCCTAGCTACCACAGTTAGAAGACTCGGAGTAAAGTGATTTCTGCGTTAATCCCAACTCCTCTCTGGTTAGCGGTGTAAAACAGTCAGGCCCCCCAGTCTCTGAAAGCTCCACCTTCCTGATCTGTACAGGAGGGGAACTGCGACACAGAAGTGCTCTGAAAAGCATGTGTGGCTAAATTGCTGGCGATTGTGATGCGGTATAGATCCACATCCACATTCCCTAACTTCACTTTCCTGTTCTTCGATTGACCCATTCTACTGTGTTTAAGATAACTGGTGCAGGAAGCAATTCTGTGTGTGTTGGTCATTAATCTGTTACCTTTTAAAGACGCATTTTCCTCTATTTAAGTGAATATCTCCTACTATAACATATAAATGTCTATTTTTTGATTCACTCATTAAAACCTATTTATTGAAGACTTTAAATAATATTTTTTTTAAATAAGCAGGATGCTGGAGCCACAGCAGTAATAAGAAAGTAAAGGACCTATTCTCATTGAGTCTATAATCTTGGGATGATTTAAGAAACATTCTGTGTACTCCTCAGAAATAAAAGGACTAGGGGGTGCCGGGGATTTAGCTCAGTGGTTCCACCACCTGATACGCAAGCACAAGGTCTCGAGTTCGATTTCCCGGTACCAAAAAAAAAAAAAAGAAAAAGGACTAGGAATGAACAATAAAGATGATTAAAATGATGATAAATATTAGAAAATGTATGTCAAATCTATAAAACGTGTTTCACAAAAACCTCTGGAGTCCTGTCTTTATTTTCTGAGACATAGAATCACTATGCAGTACAGACTGAACGTGAACTCACTGGATAGCCTAGTTCTGCCTCCAACTCCAAAGCCTCCTGAGTGCTGTGATTATAAACTTGCACCTTCACACCCAGCTGACTATGATATAGTTTCAAAATATTAAAGTTTGTTTTAAATTCCAAGATAAACAAAACTTACAGTGACAAGAGATTTTAGGGGCAAGCAAAAAGAGCTGGGATAAAATAGTCTACAAAACAAAACAATTAAGTATCCTTCCTTTAATTTTTCACTATATACAGCAGCATTTGATTAACCAGTGTGACCATTGTCTACAGGTGACTATGGCCCCAAATGCCTTCAACTTTTGTGGCCCTTGTAATAAACATGGGTGTCCTGTATCCTTTTAAGGAGTTGTTGATGAGTCTATTCCCGTTCCTGTCACACTACACAATCCTGTAGCTCTAATGGACAATGGACAAAGAATGCTCTTCCCAGTGTTTGATTCTGGCATATAACTTTCATTATTGGAACAGGTGCACCAAATAGCTGAAAACTTGATGATTGAAAGTCATTTTGTGATTGGAGCTGGTGAATTTTATGAAATGACCCACAGTGCAGAGTTACCAAGGGAACTAGTTATTATTCTAAATCTTTTCTTTTTATCTGTAAGCCCAAGAAAATTTGTTTAAGGGAGGTAGGGCAGTGACTTGGGAAGATTAATACCTTAGAGCTTGAAACGTGTAGGACCAAATCCTGTCTACCTTTGAGCGGCTTTGAAGATAATCCTTAATTATCCTAGTCAGTGGTTAATTGTAAAGATGGAGTACAGTGCAACGTACTGTCATAAGGCACTTACAACAGAAAATGGTACATGAGTGACATTCAATGAATGTTTCCCATGCTTTCTTATCTACAGTGTAACTGCTCACATATTGAAGGAGATATGGAGCTAATTCTTTCAGGTTGAGTTTAATTTCATATGTGACTTGATCAAATCTTCAATCTTCATGTGCTTTAGAATTTCAATTGATTAGGTGTTTTTGCTTATAAAAATTTTTAGTTATATGCTACTTGTAGTAAATATGAATAGTTAATTGGTAATTTCTTCAAAAGATCAATTATAGGAATATTGAGCTTTGTTTGTTTTATTCACAGCATTACCTGATCTTTTCTGCATAGAGTGTACTGTTTTTTCTTTTTCTTTTCTTTTCTTTTGTGTGTTTTTTTGAGACAGAGTCTTACTATGTAGTTCAGGCTGGCCTGGAATTCACTGGGTAGCTCAGGCTGCCCTCGAACTCACAGTGATCCTCCTATCTCAGCCTCCTGAGTGCTAGGATTACAGGCATGCACCACCATGCCTGGGGCTGTACTGGTTTTTAAAAGATTCCTTGCATTGCCTTACTTAGATAATCTAGGTTACAAGCCATTCAGATACTATTATAATTTACTTTTTCTCATTAACTGTACAAAAGCTGACCAAAAGCTAGTGTCTTTAAATTTAAAAAATTATTTTAGTAAAGGACATATTGCCATTAATCCTCCTTAAAATACTCTTTATTTTTAAAAATTTTAGGTTATTACTAGATGAGTGTAGTTTATAATGTATGCTTTCCTTCTGGGAAGTTGATACCTGTACCTACACACCTTAATTCCTTTGTTTATCCTTTATCCCTTCCCTCCCTTCCTCCTCTACCCATCTCTTGATTCTTTTCCTTTTTTGTGTGTACACATTTATTCCATTGTTTTTTCCACTTTCTGAAGCAGTTCTGGAAGCCCTCCTTTGTCTTTTTATGGCTGCCTTGATGCAGGAATCAATTCAAAACATTTACAGCAGCCAGGAATTTAGCTCAGTGGCACCGTGTCTGCCTCACAAAGTCAAGGTACTGAGTTTGA